GTCTCTTTAATGAGGGCCAGGGTCATTATGGAGACAGGCGCGCTTACCATCCAGATTATGTCTAAGGATTTCTTCGAGAAGCAATTGAAGGACAAGAACCCTCCGCTCATGGCCTCGCTCGTTCTTCACCTCGCGAGCCGTGCTTCGAGGGCGATGGGCCTGAAGAAGATGGAGGACTGGGTCAAATTGCAGATCGCGCTTTGGTTGAACCCTGAGGCTTAGGTGGTCTTGGGAAGTCTGGGAGCGGTCTTGGCGGATGTAAGGCGGGGCTGCTCATGGAATCTGCGCGTATGGGCCCGCTCGTGAGCCTGTTATCGTGCCTTCAGGTCAGCTTGAGAGGGGTGAGGGTGAGTGAGGCCTTCGCCATGAGTGATCATTTTTTGAGTTGGTTTCGCGAGGATGTGTGCCACAGCCAGCTGGCACGGATTTTTAGGTGGGACCCTGTGTAGAAATAGAAAGGGGAGCGTCGTCGTCGTGATTGGGTGTGGGGGGCGACGGGTCCTGAGGTGCCGTTCGTGCCAGTGGGGTCGCCGCGGGGCTGCTCCCCGCCGAAGGCGTTCCTCGCGGCCTAGCGGTGATGTGACCGCCGCAGGGTCACGTCTCGCGGGATCTGAGAGGTTGGCATGTTTGCCGCGCAAGGTCTGACACATTCGCTGTTTGAATGTGTATCTTTTGACTGTTTCGTTCAGCCTCCTGTTGCACAGTGTCGAGTTACTTATGGATGAACTGGTCCCGAATGCTTTCGTATCGTATCGAATCCTGCTCCCTGCTCCTCCTCCTCCCCATCCTCTAACGCCTCCTCCTCTGTGTGCCTCCCATTCGCCTTTGCGCCTTCACAGGTCGATGGGCCTCACCGGCCCCTCCCCAGATTCTTGAATGTTGTTTCGTCCCGCGCGTCTCGTCACCACGGACGCGCGGCACCGTAAAAGCAGCAGTGCGGAAGAGGAAGGCCGAATCAGCTGGAGGAGGAGGAGGAGGAGGAGGAGGAGGAGGAGGAGGAGGGGGGAGGAGGAGGAGGAGGAGGAGGAGGAGGAGGAGGGAGGAGGAGGAGGAGGAGGAGGAGGAGGGAGGAGGGAGGAGGGAGGAGCGAGGAGGGAAACAGAGGAAGAGGAAAAAGGCAGAGCACAGTCGGGTTTGATCAGCAGGTCGACCCTGGAAAGTCAAGATCAACCTCGTGTCCTGTCTATCATGTTTCATGTTCTTTTCGTGTCTGGAGAATGGGTTGCCCTCCGAAGAGGCTTGAGTCCTTTCAGGTGCCGTCTGCAATCGCCTGATTGTGTGCTACTTGCGCTCCTCCTTGTGCTCCTGCCTCCCTAACCCCCCTCCCTCCCTCCCTCCCTCCCCCCCTCTCCCTTCTCCTTGCCCGCTCCTCCTCCTCCTCCTCCTCCTCCTCCTCCTCCTCCTCCTCCTCCCCCTCCTCCTCTTCCGCAGGTCGCGCACTCTCCCTCAAGAGGGGTGGGGTGCATGGCGACACTTTCACAGCCCGTCCCACCACCGCCTGCAGGTAGTAGAGGCCTTCGCCGAGGACCAGAGGAAGACCGTGAGGATAGTGCCGAGCTTTTACGAGGATGACTCTGAGGAGAGCTTGCTTGCACACGTGGCCTTGGAGGGGGGAAGCGGGGATGATGATGGACGAGAAGAAGGAGGAGGAGGAGGAGGAGGAAGAGGAGGAGGAGGGGCAGGAGGAAGAGGAGGAGGAGGAAGAGGAGGAGGAGGAGAACAGGGGCAGAGGATACGGATGATGAGGAGGGGGAGGGTGAGAGGGTGCAAGGGAAGGATGTGGAGGACTGGGAGGAGGAAGAGGACGAGGAGGAGGTGGAGCAGGTGGAGGAGAAAAGGTAGCTGGAGGAGTGCAGAGAGAGAGAGAGAGACAATGAAGAAGAAGATGGTGAAGCTGATGAAGCTGATGATGGTGCTGCTGCTCATGATGTTGTAGTTGTTGTTATTGTTGACGATGCTGATGATGACAATGATGATGACGATGCTGCTGCTGATGCTGCTGCTGCTTGTTGTGATGAGGATGCTGATGATGCTGCTGATGATGATGTTGCTGCTGCTGATGGTGTTGATGTTGATGTTGATGTTGATGTTGATGCTGTTGTTGCTGACGACGGCGATGATGCTAATTGTGATGATGATCATGATGCTGATGATCGTGATGATGACGAGGAGGAGGAGGCTGATGAGGAGGATGATGCTGCTGATGATGATGTTGCTGATCGTGATGGTGGTGGTGATGATGAGGAGGAGGATGAGGAGGACGATACTGATGCTGCTGCAGCTGATGATGATGCTGATGAAGATGTTTGTGATTGTGGTGGCGGTGATACTGATGCTGCTGATGATACTGATGATGTTGCTGATGGTGATGATGATGGCGATTATGCTGATGATGCTGCTGATGATGATGAGGAGTAGGAGGATGAGGGTGCTGAGGAGGAGGGTGATGATGATGCTGATGATGCTGATGATGCTGATGCTGCTGATGATGAGGGTGATGCCGATTCCAGTGATGCTGATTGCGATGGTGGTGGTGGTATTATGATGATGCTGATGCTGAGGATGCTGATGATGCTGGTGGTGATCACGATGATCATGCTGATGCTGATGATGATGATGATGCTGATGCTGATGAGGATGATGATGCTGATTATGATGCTGCTGATGATGATGATAATGACGACGACGATGATGATGACGATGATGAAGCTGCTGATGATGATTATGCTGATGATGACACTGATTCTGATGATGCTGAGGAGGGGGGAGGAAGACGGGGAGGAGGAGGAGGAGGCGGAGGAGGAGGAGGAGGAGGACGAGGAGGAGGAGGAGGCGGAGGGTATGCGTGTAGATAGGGCGGAGGAACATGATGAGGATGCGGATGATAATGACGAGGGTGAGATATATACTTCTCCCAGGGGCGTCCAGAGGAGCGAGCAGGGCCCAGAGCTCGCGACGCCGCGCGGGGTGGGGGGCGGGGTCGCACTGCTACTCGACATGGCAACCGCCGCCGATGACCAGCCTCGACCTGATCCCTATCCCCAAGACTGACGAGCCAAAAGGCGACGACAATCTTAGGGGTGTGCCCTCAGAAACGGAGGGAATCCCCAAGATCGGCATCGAGATAGGGAGATACCGATCGTATGTATAAGGATCTGCTTCATACTGGTACAGTAGGGGTCCGACCACAATAAACCTTCCACAAGAAACCCAACCCTGCGACCCCAGGACGTTCATCGATTTTTGGTGTGGGAACGTAGACAGGGATCGCATGATCATGCTGATGATGATGATGCTGATAATGATACTGGTTATGATGATGATGATGATGATGATGATGATGATGATGATGATGATGATTGTGTTTATGGTGATGATGATGATGCTGATGATGCTGCTGATGATGATGATGATGAGTACGAGGATGAGGATGCTGAGGAGGAGGGTGATGCTGACGCTGATGATGATGATGCTGATGCTGCCGATGATGCTGATGATGATGATGATGATTATACTGATGCTGATTATGATGGTGGTGGTGGTGAGATGATGATGGTGCTGATGGTGACGATGATGCTGATGCTGATGCTGATGATGATGAAGATGATGATGATGATGATGATGATGATGCTGATTATGATGATGATGATGATGATGATGATGCCGACGACGACGGTCACGATGATGATGCTGATGCTGATGATGCTGATGTTGGCGATTATGATGATGATGCTGATGATGATGATGCTGATGATGATGATGCTGATGATTGATGATGATGATGATGATGATGATGATGATGATGATGATGATGATGATGATGATGATGATGATGATGATGATGATGATGATGATGATGATGATGATGATGATGACGATGATGATGATGCTGCTGCTGCTGATGATCATGCTACTGATTATGATTATGAGGAGGAGGAAGAGGAATAAGATGATCAGGAGGAGGATGCGGAGGGTAAGCGTGTAGACAGGACGGATGAACACGATGTGGATGCGGATGATAATGAAGAGGGTGAGAGGCAGGGATCCCATGATGATGGCGATTCTGACGATGCTGATGCTGATGCTGATGCTGGTGCTGTTGATGATGATGACGATGATGATGACGATGTTGATGATGCTGATGATGCTGATGCTGATTATGATGCTGATAATGATGATGATGGTGATGGTGATGATGATGATGATGACGATGATGATGACGATGATGATGATGATGATGCTGATGATGATGATGATGATGATGATGATGCTGATGCTGATGATGATGATGCTGATGCTGATGATGGTGATGATGATGATGATGATGATGATGATGATGATGATGATGATGATGATGATGATGATGGGATGAGATGAGATGAGATGAGATGAGATGAGATGAGATGGGATGAGATGATATGAGATGAGATGATGATGTTGGTGGTTGTGATGCTGCTGCTGCTGATGAGGAGGACGAGAAGGAGGAGGAGGAGGAGGAGGAGGCGGAGGAGGAGGAGGAGGAGGAGGAGGAGGAGGAGGAGGAGGAGAGGAGTGAGGGAGGTGCGGAGGACGAGGATGAGGAATATGAGCAGAGAGAGTCCGTAGCCATTTTGGCTCAAGTCCGTAGCGGTTTGCTCAGGACGAGAGTTTCTTTGGCAAGGGGATCCGCGGCCCCACCAACTCCACACCTCGAGACTGTACTGAGGTTTCATCCCTCGCTGCCTTTGCGCACCTACGGCTTGTGTCGCACCCTCCGAGGGTGTGAGATGGCATTTTGGCAGCAGTCTTGTTGGTGTTGTCCCAACAAACAGTGTAAGTACAAGTACAACTATGAATGGCGTGACCGCTGCCTCCGTTGTGGCAAGGATAAAGGAGGCCCCAGTCAGCGCGTGGTCCAGCCCCGCGGCGTCTGGGCTGGTGGCGTCTCCCCTTCCGTACGCTCGCCCAAGCCGAAAGGGCCTCCGCCCCTCACCGATGCGCAGGTCCGCGCCCATGCCGCCATGGACCCTGCCGCGTATGAGGCCGTGGCGGACACGCTTAGCCAGTCGGCGAGGGATCGCATCCAGCACCAGCGTGGCCTCCTCTCGGGTGATCCGCAGCTGGTGTCTAGGGCAGCGCAGAAGGAAAGTGATGTGCTCACGGATCGGCTTGGCAAAGTGCAGAAGAAGTATGACAGGGCGCAGGAGAACCTGCACCGTGCCGTCCGCTGGGCAGCAGAGGTTGGCGCCGAGCTCGAGGAGCTCCAGCAGCAGCAGAAGGAGGCGGCCGCGCGCGGGGCAGCGGCACTGGCGCGAGTGGGTGGCGCGGCCGCCGCCGCGCCTGGCACGCCGCCTGGCCAGTGTGACGGGCTGCTGCAGCAGGCGCGGCTGCTTGGCGACGCCGAGCTCGAGGCAAAGCTCGCGGAGGTGGCGGCGCAGCTGGCGACCGCCCAGCAGGAGCTACAGGCGAAGGCTGCGCAGGCCCAGCACCCCCCCCCCCTGGTGCGCCCGCTGGCACCGCCCCCGCTGGCGGTGCCCAGCCTGGCGCCGCCTGCGCGGGCCCCTCTCCGGGAGGCGGCGTCGCGGCAGCAGGGGCAGCGGGTGCAGGGCAGCCTGCGCCGCCTACTGCAGCTCCTTTGGGTGGCGCTGACCCTGATGAGCGTGCCCGTGCATGGGCAGCCCGCAACGAGCAGAAGCTGCTCGAGGCCTGTGCCAGCGCAGTCGGCGAGGAGGATGACATGGATCTCGACGAGGGAGCCAAGCGGGTCATCAAGCAGCGTGCCATCGAGCTGTTCGGCCAGGCGCTCAAGAAGATGCGATCCACTTACTACGTCCCGCCGCAGTTGGGGTAGCCCGCAGTGCCGCCCATTGACAGTTCTCACGGCAAATGTTACAAGCATGCCTGGGCTTGAGCTGCTCAGGCAATCTGAAGAATGGTATGATTGTGATTTGGCGCTTGTGCAAGAGCACAAGGTGCCGCAACACCAGCGTGATGCACAGGAGCAGGCCTTGCGCAAGACAGGCTGGAAGGCAGCCATCAATCCTGCCGTCCGCGCCCGTGCCGCTGATGGCGCCTCAGACAGCCTGGCGGGTTTGTCAGGTGGCGCCATGATTGCCACGCCAGTTCGCTATGGGCTCAGCCAGCTAGAAGGCCTCTCGCATTGCGTGTGTCCAGCCAGAGCCTCACTCCTGCATCTGAGCCATGGCCCGAAAAGGAGGTTTGCTTGTTGGCACCATGCGCCTGCACGATTCTGAAGACCTCAGCGAGAGGAATTGGCGCATCCTCTGCGACATGGGCCAGGCCGTCAAGAGCTCAGGCTTTCCGTTCATCCTCAGTGCGGACTGGCAAGTCACGCCCGAGGAGCTCATGGGGAGTGGCTGGGTGGCAGGCATTGGTGGAGTCGTGGTAGCCCCCAAGCTGGGCACGGTCAGGCCGTCGGAGCGCGTCATCGACTATTTCGTGATGTCGCCTTTCCGAGCGGCAGGAGCGCAGCTGACAGTACTGGAGCATATCGCGATCACTCCGCATCGTGCAGTTCAGGTTCGGCTTCAGGTACCACGTCGGCCCCCAGAAGTTCGCATGGTTCAGCAGCCGCGCAAGTTTCCAGTCCAAGCTCCTATTGGCTGCTGCAGGGAGTTCGAGGAACCCGACTGGGAGCGGCTCGCAGACAGCATACGTCAGCCCGACGTCAATGTTGACACAGCCTGGGCCGCGTTCATCGAGGCTGCGGAAGCGAAATGGTTGAAGGTGTTCGATGTGGAGCCGCAACAGGCCGAGTACTATCGAGGGCGCGGAAGAACGCCTCGTCTGAGGACTCTTCGACCTCCGCGACCATGTTCGGTACCCTTTCCGCAGATCAATGCTGAGGCTACCTGGTGGCGAGGGTTGGCGCACGCGCTGCTGGGCTACGGCAACTTGCAGGGCGGCTGGGGTGCTGTGGCTCGTAGGCGCCGTCTCACTAGACATTGCCGAGCCAGTTCGTTGCCGCGCCAGTGCCAGCTAGCGATCAATGTTGCCAGGCTCGTCCTCCATAGCCTCCCTCTCTCCGCACCCCACTTGCAAATTTTAAAAACGCTTGCCCAGCAGCAAGCTGAGCTCGCTGTTCGAACCAGCCAGCGAGCCAAGCAGCGGGGGTGGGAGGATTGGGTTCGGAAGCACAGTACTGAGCAGGGCGCCTCTGCCCTTTTCAGTTTCTCCAATGTGCCTACAGGATGGGCGCCTGACGACACGGCGGTCGATCACGTTCCCCTAGGCTCAGCCGAACAAATTGAACAGCTCAGGATTGAATGGGAGTCATGGTGGTGCGTCTCTGAACCCCACCCTGCGCTTCCCTGGCCAGATCTCTCCCTCCTCGAGCCTCCCCCTCGTCCGTCTGTCCCTGAGTTGCTAGCAGTCCTAAAAAGTTACAAGCCCACCACGGGCCAAGGCTACGATTGTGTTAACCCGCGGCATTTTCTGCACCTGGGCCTCGAGGGCCTGGGCGCGCTCTGTGAGCTCTTTCTTTTGATTGAGCTGAGGCTGGACTGGCACACCGCGTGGGTCAAAGTTTTCTTCCTGGCCAAACGCCTGGGTGGGTTTCGGCCGATTGCTCTCTTGCCTGTGCTTGCAAGGGTCTTGTGTCGCTTACGGAAGTCTGAGATTCAGGATTGGCAGAGAAGAAATTTTAGAAGTTTCTCTTGGGGGACCCGCGGCAAGGCAGCAGACAAGTGCGTCTGGGTGCAGGCCGCGTGGGCCGAGTGGGCTCATGGCCAAGGGATGGCTTCTGGGACGGTTTTGGTCGACCTCAAAAAGGCCTTTGAGCTCATTCGGCACCATCAACTCGTGGCCGCCGCAGAGCGCACTGGGTTCCCGATGAGACTACTGTACCTCCTTATCAAGCTGTATCGTCAGCCGCGGATTTTAGACATGGGCATTTTTGTGTCGGAGCCCATTCTTTCAGAGCAGAGTGTCCTGCCAGGCTGCGTGTTCGCAACAATGATGCTACAGCTCGTCTTGCTACAGCCCCTAGATGAGGTGCGCAAAGTTGCTCGTGCGGTTTCACTCTCTACAGTTGTCGATGATATAGGTCTGCAGCGCTTCGGTCAAGAGGAGCGCGTCCATGCAGACCTCACTGCAGCAGGATGCGAGTTAGCCCGTCAGTTAGAGAAAGTTGAGCGTTGGTGGCGAAGGATAAGACGCGTTTCATGAGCAGTGTAGCCCCTCTCAGGACGTCTTTAGAGGCCAGCCTTAAATGCCTGGGAGGGCAGCGCTCTCGCTCTGAAAGGAACTTGGGTGTTGACTTTGGGTCTGGGCGGAGGTTGGGTCGCACCACTAAGCGAGAGCGTTTGGCTGCGGCTGACGTCCGCTCTAGGCGTTTAAAGATTTTGCAAAAAGCGAAACGTCGCCGACTCGTCGCTCGTATGGTCAAAGCCACCGTGGAAACCAGCGTTTCCTACGGCACTAGCATCACTGGGACCAATGGGCAAGGGCTCCAGAGGCTTAGGCAGTTGGTAGGCAGTCAAGGTCCCACCAGCTCCGCCTCCCTCACGCTCCGCCTCCTGCTCACCCCTGGCAGTCGGGTGGGCCCTATTTTCAAGGCTTCCGCCGACCCGCTTTGCGCCATGTTGGCAGCGTGGAAGCAGCAGTGGGTACCCCAGCACATAATAACTCAAGGAATTCGGCAAGCCCAGCAGCGTGCTCGATCCAGCAAAGGCAGTCCGTGGCAATCTGTTGCGGGGCCCTTCGCGGCCTACTTGGCCACGCTCGATCGGTTGGGAATTCAGGCTGATGGTTTTAGTTCTTGGACCTTTCCCTGGGGCCTCACTATACAGCCGGCCACCCTTTGCGTCCATGGGCTAAGGAAGCTCACTGACCTGGCCTGTGAGGCCTGGCAGTGGAGGCAGATCAGCACCACGCTTGGCTGCCCTGAGCTCAAGTCAGGCATCTTGCTCGAGCCTGTCCTCAGTCTGCTCGGTCGCTCTTCGCCGTTGTCGCCTGATGAAAAGGCCTATCTTCGATCCGTTGTCATCGGTGCTCAGTGGGCGCAGCAGCGCATGTTTGAGGCCAAATACGTGCAGTCCCCGCTTTGCCGCATCTGTCATGATTTCCCTGGCACGTTGTACCACCGACATCTGTTGTGTGATGGGTTGGTCTCTGCCAGCTTGCAGCCCGCGGGCCCTCTCTGTCGTGTATTGCCGCAGGAGCCCACCGAGCTTGTGCTGCTGCTTGGCAGCCGTGTGCTTCTTCCTTTCGACAGGTTCCCGCAGCGGCCAGAGCCCGCGCCAGAGCAGTTCTACCTTGGTGAGCGAAGCTTGCTCACTGGGGATTTTTTCGTAGATGGATCCATGTATGATCACGATGTGCCCAATGCTGTCGTCGCTGGTTGGGCTGTCATTGCCATGCATCCAGATCCTCCCCCTCCGAGGGCTCTCGATGACTTTCGTGTTTCGGTTGTCTTCGGAGGCGGAGTCGAGGGCCCAATTCAGTGCATTGATCGTGCAGAGTTGGTGGCGGCTTTGAATGCTCTCAGAGCTGCCATGCCACCCGTCACCATCCATACTGATAGTGATTTTGTTTTCTCAGGTGTTGTCAAGCGTGGGCGGGAAGCATGCTGTGACTTGCTCTCCGCCCATGCTGATGTCTGGGAGCTTCTCTGGACAAAGTTAGAGGACTGGGGTGGGGTGGGGCCCGATTCGGTCACGTTTGTCAAAGTCAAGGCCCACCCCACCCCAGAGCAACGCCGTGCCATCGACCCACGCCTTCTCGCTGGCAGTCGATTTGCCGACGAGTGGGCAAAAAGGATAACGAGCCTGGGGCGCTTGGATTTCGAGCTTCGCGATCGGTGTCGGAAGTTTTCGAGGCTTGTGCGCGCGGTGGGGGAGCAGGTAGGCAGGGCCGCCCCCCTCGCGTCCACCGACACCGAGCGCCTCGCGGCGTCCCAGATCAAGGCGGCTCGCGCCGCGCGGCGCCAGGCCAGCGAGCTGGCCGCCGCCGCCACCGCTGCCGCCGCCGCCCTCGCCCCACCTCCGCGTGCTCCCCCCCGTCGTGTCTTTCTCGCTGGGGGGCACGCTCTGAGGAGGTGGGTCAGCGTGGAGCGTGGCGACAATTCGGGCGGTGTCGTTTGTGTTAGTTGTGGCGCCATTTGTTCGTCGCAAGTGGTCAAGCTGGGCCAGGTCTGTGGGCGTCCCTCGGCCTGGGGCAGGAGGGTCCTCAAAGGCCTTGACCAGAGGAGATTGTTCTTTCGGGGCCGCTGGATTGCTGTTCAGCTTGGTCCCCTGGTTCCTGAGAGCTCGGAGGTGAGCTGACCTCGAGCTGTGTACGGCGGTAGGGGGCAGGCTCACTGACCCCCCGTTGTTGGCAATCTGTGTCGCAGGAATATGAGCAGAGGGTGAAGGGAGGAAGAGGAGGATGATGAGGAGGAGGTGGAAGATGATGATGAGGAGGAGGAGGAGGTGGAGGAAGGAGGAGGAGGGAGGAGGAGGAGAGGATGCGGAGGGGAGAAGGAGAAGGAGGAGGAGGAGGAGGAGGAGGAGGAGGAGGAGGAGGAGGAGGAACAACGGAATTTGCGTTGTACCAGAAGGGAGAAGTGCCCTCTCTGTCCCCCTCTCTCTTCGCATCCTCTCTGCCCCCCTCCCGTGAGCCGTTTCTGCCGCCCCTTCTGCTCGACCGATCTCTCACTCTCCACTCTCTCTTTCTCTCTTTCTCTCTCTCTCTCTCTCTCTCTCTCTCTCTCTCTCTCTTTCGCATGCTCGCTCTCGCTCCCTCTCTCTCTCTCTCTCTCTCTTTCGCTCCCTCTTTCTCTCTCGCACAATTCGTCTTCTGCCTCTCGCTCTCTCTCTCTCTCCCTCTCTATTTCCGCCTCTCGCTCTCGCT